TCCAGCTTTATATGTATGGATAAAATAACCAGCGAGTTTAATGTGATCTACAGGGTTGTGTGAAAGGAGCATGCTTCATGTGAAGGTTTCTTTTTCCATCTGGTCAACCACATTGTATTGATTTACCGTGAAACCAAGCAGCTTCCATGCCAGCTCGTCAGCTGGTGAAGCAACTAAAGCTTCATTCATCGACAGAAGAAGCTGACGTGTTGCAGATCGTACGTTTGTGCGGAGATTTCACTGTGGATCCATATACCATAATTTCTGGTCAGTGAGATGCAGAAAACATGGTGAGTCGTTGGTTTGGCTGGTGGTGGGATGAGTGCTGCAGATTTTCCCAGACTCGCCCCTCCTGAACCGGTTTGCCTCCGCATCCAGGAGGGAATAAAAGCTGCCAGTCAGCGGAAACATGTTTTTTTTTTTTTGAGGTTTTCAACTTTATGGGAGGAAAAATGAGTCTGAGGCTGGTCGTCTCTACTGTCACTGTACGGCTTTGAGTCTGCAGCTAGGTGAGGGGTAGTGGTGAAGTGGAACCGATGCATTACTTCATTTGTCTTATTTATTCTTTTTTTCCATTTCCTCACAGAAAGTGCTGATTTTAGCCTCGAGTTCATTTGTCTTATTTATTCTTTTTTTTCCATTTGCTCACAGAAAGTGCTGATTTTAGCCTCGAGTTGTCTGTCTTATAATTTCTGTCTTGTGGTGAGTTGACAGCAGTTCTGGTAATCCAGTTAAAGGAAACCGCTAGCATGACTCAAGCAGAATCAAAGATGCATAAAGAGTAAACTGGAGGCTCTGCTGCTGTTTAGCTGAGTCATATTTGCTCCTCGACCACAAGCATTAATGAGTCCCACCTGGCAGCGATGATTGCATGTAAAACAGCTGAATATACAAGCAGAAACTGCTTATTGAGCATGAGATTATGTCAAAAGTAAACCGATGAAGTGGTGGAAAATGCACATTTAAAACACGGATTTAAAAACCCCAGGACTTCCAGAACATCTGAAGAGCATTTCAAACTAAATTCAAGTGCTGCTCTGGACTCGGCACATGATCTAAGCTGCAGCTTCAGTGTAATGACAGAGTCTGATTATAGGTTGGATGTTTAAAGGCTGCTGGAAAATGTAACTTTAGCCCTCATGCAGCTCTGAGCCATCGCTTTGCCTGCATGTTTAACTGTGTTTGGGCAAATTTAGTCAGCTGCAAGCAGATATTTGCATATGACTGTAATTTATTGTGGTTCAAATGATAAAACAAACTTCTTTAGATCTTTAATTTCTTCTGATAGCTTCAGTTTTCCAGACCATTGTTGTGCTTGGCTGCTTTTGAAAATAACATATAAGTATGCAATAAACATACTCGTAATTGAGGCAGATTTCTGTATTCTGTATTATTTTTATTGGTCTAATATTATATTCTAACCGTAAATGTTGTTTACATTAATCACAATTTATTGAAATAAAGGATTGAAAACACAATTCTGGGTGTAAATTGAGTTACTGAAATGAAGGAAGTTTTTAATAATATAATTTATTGAATTAAACAACAATAAAAACTTTGAATAAAAAGCCATTTTTAATCATTTTACCTTTTTACAGCACTCACCTTCAATAATAGTTTATAATAAAAAGTATAAAGAAATAATATATGTATAAATTCAGATTTCTGAACCGCAAATAAGTATTTCATGAAGCTCACATCACATACATTTATTTTTAAATTTCACGAATTAAAAAAAAAAGGAAAAGAAAACATCTATCAGATCTGGGATGACCAGCGGCTCCCTCTGCTGGACGGCGGCCAAACTACAACAATTTGGAACTACAACAGTAAGAAAAGGTCCACAGGACCAAAGGATTGAAATTAATCAACTGGAACTAATTTTAATCTAATAAATCATTAATGGACAAGTAATCGTAAGTCACCTCATTGATTGCAAGTATAGCTCAGAGAACTATGGCCTCAGAGTTAAAAAAAAAAAAAGCCAACAAAAACTCAAACTCTTTCAACTACACCTATAGGTCAAAGGTCTAGCAACAATCCAAACACCAATTTTTGCCCACAATCCATCTAAATAAAACTCATTCAGATTCACAAATATTAAATGAAGTTTACAAAAAACGGCTTTCAGTTTTGACAAATGTTTGTGGCAGAAATTTGTTAGAATTTTCAAATAACCACAATTTTATGTATACCACTAATATAGCTAGAAAAACCCCATAGTTTCCACACTTTGTCAAGAAAAATAGATCTAAAGAATATATAAATTTTAATATCATTCTGTTGTAGAAGCTTAATACAATTATTTCATGAAAAACTGGAGAAACTACTAAAACATGCCTTTGTTAGTATATGTAAAACATAAGCTAGTTATTTTTTAGCTAAAGTTTTAAAGAGCTATTGTGGCTCTGGAGTCTGAAATCTTTGACTAAAAGCAGAACCAGGACAACTTTCACCTCTTCATTATCCAGTAAAGTACCTGAAAGTACATCAGTGTGTTCATCTTCTTGAAGTCACAATCGAGGATTTCATGAATAACCAGAAGGATTGTTACAAAAAATATATAATCTAAACACAGATTTCTTTACTCTTTTATGACACCCTTACAACCTGATTTGTTAGTTCACACAAGTTTTAAACAGAAAGTGTCTCTTTATGTTCTGTGAGGGAGAAATTCTTTGTATAAATGATGTTATTCTGCTGCCTGTGGAGTCAATCTGGGTCACAGTGACAGCTGGCCCAAGTCAGAAGCAAGACCTCTGATCTCTGGCTGCTCTTTGAGCTTTGACATTTCCTTCCCAGACTGTCACCTGGGTGTCAGATTCCTCAGGTGTGCAGAGCCAAGAGATGCTGCTGAATCACAGGACGGCCATCACAAAGCACTATTCACCGGCTGCACACCTTCCCCATCTTATTTTTCTTACTAGGCAACAAAAACATACAGGATGACTGCATAAATCTGAATGTAATTCATTCAAGTAGAAAGCTAAATGCTTAGCCAAAACAAATGCACTCTGCACAGAGAAACAGGGTTCATGGAGGTTGTGTTATTTTTGATTTTCTGTTTTGTGGTTCTATAAACATCTTGTTGGGGTTTGTTCTTGTTTCTTGTGGTCTTTGCTTTCCCTGCTCCAGTACGCTGAATGGGGCAACACATCTAAAACCAAAACTAACCCTCTGTTTGTGATACAAAATAAAGCTATGTGACTTTTATATAAAGTGAATTAAAGCAAATTGTTGATTCAGTCAAGTATCTTGAATCTTAGAGACTTGGGTAATTTAAAAATGCTATTAGTTATGTTTAAAGCTATGGAGAGATTACTGCCAAAAGTTATTTGTCTTTACAAAGAACTGTGATAGAAATAGAGGGAAATATGATTTCCAACGTAAAACTGCTTGTGCTATCTTAAAACAATTATGCATTTTGGTGCATGGAGTAAAAACTATGGAACAATTTGTATGAGGAGTTAATAGTAGTGTTAATAGTTAGTATTGGTAATTTAATGCGTACGTCCATGAAAATGTAATTTTCATGGACGTACGCATGAAAATGCGTACGTCCATGAAACGTACGCATTTTCATGCGTACGTTTACATGGCGTACGACCATGTAATTTTCATGGTCGTACGCATGAAAGGGACAGGTTTACACAAGGTTTTTTCTTCTTTCTGCTCCTTTTTCACTTGTTGGGAAGTAGAAAGAGAATGTTTGTGAATTAATAATGAAATTTGTTAAATCAAGTGAATAAAATAATTTATTTTAGCCATATATATCTCTGCTGTTTTCTCTAATGTTTTCTGACAAACACACTCAGGTTCACTGCATTTATTCTATCAAGAAAGAAAATCAAGGTGGTGGTTAACATCAGTCCAGCAGCTTCTGCCCTTATACATTAAATAAAATATAATAAATAACCCTAAACAAGCTACAGAGGTGAATGCACAGCTAACAACAGTTAACAGGTAAAATTAAACACAGCTAAAGCACTACATGTACATGAAACATGGCAAAATTACATGCAAAACCATGTACATGAATGAATTTGTCTAAAATATATGTCAAAATGTAACACTTGTAAAGAAAACATAGAGCTAATCCTAAAACATATCACAGTTACAGAACGGCGACAGAAAAAGGGGGGCGGAGCTTTCAGTTACTGGTTGCTATGGTAACCACCAACGGTCAAGAGCGGCGTAACGTTCCTTCATAAAAGGAGAAATAACTTTTTTACGAAACACAAATGAATTTGAAGAATAAATAAACACATTTTGACAAACTTCACATCTGTAACATTGTTAAAATGAACCCCTGTTACGCTTTTCAGATTTTCTTCTTTAGATCCATCTAAAGTAATAGATCTAAAGTGATCCATCACTTTATCATCTTAGTCAATGATTAACTACATTGTGTTGGTTTATCAAAAATAAAATCCCAACAAGATATACTGAATATTGGGGTTATAGCGCGACAAAATGTGGACAAGTACAAGGAGGATTAACACTTTTGCGAGGCACACAATAACATCCATAAACCTTTCAGTACCACATAAGCTATGATAGACAGTTATGTACATTAAATCGGACACTGCTCACCTCTTTGACCTTTCTTTCAATTTCACTTGCCATCATGCTTGTCTCATTTCATATGTCATAAAGAATGTCCTCTCACGACTTTATAACCCTTGGCTTTCCATTTAGCCAAAAAGGACCTGTCATCTCTGGTCTAATGAGATTTAAAACTACTTTTAAACTGTAGGGGTTTATGCTTTTTTATTGAATAGTTTTTTTTTTTTTTGTGTGTGTGTGTGTGTGTGTCTTATTTTTTGTGTTTCATCTCTGAACAGACTCCTCTGTGTTCTGCGCAGGTGACTGATGCAGCATTATCAGTTTACCTGCAGCAGCAGCAGTCGATGCTGACTCGACTTGTCCTGGTTCTGGTTCATCCTTTCTCTAATCTGACATACATCCTTGGATAACGTCCTGAACATTTCACTCTTCTGCATCAGTTTATGTGGATGCCCTTCCTCCCAGCGCCCACACCCCCTCCTGGCCGCCCTGCGTCACCTCCATCCCGGCTGCTGGATGGGGAGGGAGTGGGCAGTTCACGGTTTCATTTGTGGCGTCACTTTCTCCATCTCCCTCCTTTCTCCCCGAGCCTCCGAGCCTGTCGGTGCACGGTTGCAGCTCCAGCTTGTATCTACCTGTGCAGAGCATCCAGCCGCTTCCCCCCCTGCCCGGACAGACGCACTGCAGCACGCAGAGAGGAGCTGACGGAACATACTTGTACCCAGCAGTCAGGCCGTCCTGCTCCAGCTGAAATGCTGCGGACACCAACCAGGTAGGCTTTTCATTCGCTTCATGTCTTAATAAGTCGCCATTTGATTTCATGCCGTCTTTTTTTTGCGCTTTGCGTTGTTACGGAGAGAAGTTCATTGCAGCTGCACCTAAGTGTGAGGTGCATTATTGTGCAAAAGTTTTAAGCCGTCCCATCATTTCTTTAAACTTTGCTTCAGTCCTAACAGGCTTTTAGTGTTTTAATGGAGATTTTAAAGTTTTTTCTTGGACTTTGGTTGCTTTGGCATTATATTTCTTCAGAGTCGATTACATTAAGTGCCAGTCCAAGAAATTAAGATTACCATGAGGGACTTGGTTAATTTAAAAATGCAATTAGTCGTGCTTAAAGCTAGAAAGAGATTATTGCCAATTAATTTACAAAAGTTTTTTTTCTCATAAGATCAAGTGATAGAGTAACAGAGGTAAACCTGTGCATGTGATTTTCTAAAATATTTGGAAATATGGATTTTTAACTTCAATTTTAACAATATTGACTAATTCAAGAAACATAAATAAAACAATTTAATTGTTTAAAACTTCTGGATAAAGAAAAACATGTAAAAAGTGAATTAGGACAGCCTTACATTTAAATTACTTTTAAAGCTCCACATAAGGATCCTTCTGTTTTTTGATATGAAAGTAGATGCCTGTACAATCTTAAAAAACTTTCATTGGCGATGTGCAAAGAAAAGATCTTTGCTCCCATTAAGGACATACAGAAGTTTGCTGAAGATAATCCTGGAATAGATAAATTAGTTTTATGCTGTATTATTAATGAAACCATATGCATAAATAGTAATATTGTTGTTTTGAGACCATTTTCAAATAATATAACGTAAGTCCACTCTCTCAAAGATCAATAAACTTTAATTTCTAATGAGCATTGGACCTGGAAGACATTTTAAATATCCAAAATAAATAAACAAAACAACCGAAACAACAACTAAATTGGATACTGAAGTCTTTGTAAACAATTGTCCTCAAAGAAAATAACTTGCTGAGACCAAGGCACCAGATTTAAAACTTTTCTTATTCAGTCTTTGGCTGGACAAGACAGAAAAATTAGGAAAACAATCATGCATATAGAAATGATCAAGCTCGTTTTAATTTAACATGTTATTAGTTGATTTACTGAGACAGGCTTACATGAAGGTGGAGCATGAAGGTGGGCGTGTCATAGTCTGTGGATGCTTTGCTGTTGCATTGTCTGATTCATCATGATTTCAACCACACATTAGAGGATGTTGGAGAAAAATCTGAAGTCATGGGTCTGAAACTGGACCCTGCAACACGACAGTGGCCCAAAACAAACCAGTAAATCCACCAAAGGCAAGCTAAAAATTAATAAACCCCATGGAGACGCTGTGCTCAAAAATCTCACAACTGAAAGTGAGCAGAATGGTGAACTTTCTTTCTTCTGATGTCAGAGACATCAGAAGAAAGAGGTGGCTACAAGAGATGGCTATAAGAAGCATATCAGCTTTCCAGACATTTCGTAATCAAGAACTGAATATTTAATGAGGTGTCCCTATTTTGTCATATCACACTGCGGCCGACACAGTAGATAAGAGATAATCATCTTCCAGTTGTTCACTAGTGACTCTCTTCTTTGGGAACCACCATATTGGTACAAAATGTATATCAAACTAATCTATGTGTAATAGATTTAACTAAAGAAATCAGAACCTACTATGTCCTTGTGGCATCTACCAAATGAAATAAATTAAAGTTATTATGTTTAGACACAACACTTAAACATATCTTACACTGCCACAAACTGGCTCCACAGACATGACAAAATGAATGATATTTATTAAATTAACAATAAAAATAAAGCACTGAACAATAGTGTAGCAACCAGTGCAGCAACATTTAATTGCATGTGTAAAGTCCTCAAAACAAATGATGGAGAGAAAAACTTGCCTGAAACAAAGAGGAAGTGAGATTTTAAAAAGCTGAAACACAAATATCTGTCAATCAACGCTCTGCAGCCTTAATTTAAGAACAGATGTTGAAATACAAGAAAAGGACGTCACGTATACTGTCATATCTTTTTCCCATTTAAATTCAGATCACTTTATTCTACATTGCTCCAATTCAGAACTTATACCGCCCCATGCTTCATGATCCAACCTGAATCAAAACCATCCAGTTTGGTGGTTTTGATACATCCTGACTCAATATGATCACCATCTACTGTGACAAGTTGGGGTAAGAAGACAGAAAGGAGGCAGATAATGAAATGCAAATGAAAACCCCAAAGAGAACTGATCACTGATGGCAGTAAGAGCATTCCCATTGGTTCTGTACAGAGAAGAGTGATTCAAAAAGCCTCGGGCTGGCAGGACTTTTAATGTGAAGGAAAAGCAAAGAGAGTACAAAAAGGTAAGAATGGCAAGAGAATAGGAGAAAAGCGCAGGAACTTTATGTCCTCCAGCTGCCCTTAGCAGAAGAAGAAGTTCAAAATAATCCAGAGGCTTTAACCAGAAGAAAAGTTTTTAAGTCTAGTGTGGAAGGTCCGAGTGGTGTGGATAAGATTCATCTGAAAGTAGCCAGGTTCTGGATATTTAGAAAGCCAATACAAGCCATTCAAAAATAAGAAGAAGAAATCTTGACTTATTGCCTGCAAAATATAAACAAATGAGGGGAAAATTATTATTTTGCCCAGTTCTGTAGCTGTGGAAATTTGCATTAAACAGTTTCTAAACAGTATTTTTGTCTAGATAAAAGCAAAACATACATTGTATATTCATAAACCGCAGGTTTTCATGTACCCTGGAGATCCAGGTGCTGCTTTTAGTTTTGAGTGCTTTCCCTAAATGTTACCTGACTTTCTGCAGTTCACCTTGAGGCGCAGGTAAATTTAAGTAATGGACACACAGAGAGCCAGCGGTCACATTCAGTCATGTAGCCGCCTTTTAGTAACTTCTTTTTACATAATGCTTCAATGGATTCTGGAGTTTGAGAGGTAAAGACGTGAAGATTCAGATATAATATTCTCTCTTTGCTTGTAATGGTGAATCAGCTTACAGTACTCATTTTTTATTAAACTACTTCAAAAAATGTCAAGCAACTGCAAGTTTCAAAAGTGTTTCATTGGGAAAATCCTCTAAATTTGACTTTGAACCTAAGTATGGGATTTAAAATGAGTCCCTGCTAGTTTTTAAAGGCATCAATCTGACCATCACTACCATCCCTTTCCTCATCCATCCATTTTTAGTTTTCTTCTTGTACCTTTGACAGAAAAACACACTGTAATCAACCTGTATTATCTAATGGTTTGTATTAGATAATACTTCCTGGTAATGTTAACTGAACAGACCTATTTTTACAACTGGTTGCTTTAATCCCTTTAACTAAACTCTAGTTCGTTTGTCCAGAAAGTCAGGTTTGTTTGTGGAGGTGTGAATGCGCAATTGGACTCTGATGGGGACCAGAAAAGAAAACTATGGTCTGCCCAAAACCCAAGTTATCGGTTCGGTTGAAGTGAACGATGGTGCGGTTTGAATGTGAATGCAATCCGAACCACATGGCAGAGCATTGTGGGTAAATACAACCAAAGTAAATGCGGGGTCTGGTGCCAGACCCCTCTCCCGTGACTGGCTCCCGCTACAGGGAGAAACGGCTCAACGTTTTTCACCAGAGACAAAAGAAAAATCTTACAACCGTTAAAATCTGACGCTACTCCGTTTTTGTTTACATTTTGTGAAGCAGGAAGTTGAGCTGGTCTTCTTCGTTGGTTTTTGTGTCGTTTCCTTCAGTGGTTTGTGGTGCAGTGCCACCACAGGCAAGGAGGTGAACAGGTTTTTTTAAATTAGTTTGGTTCATTTGACACAGTCCAGTGTGAAAGTGAACAACACCAGCTGAAAATGTAGCAAATGTTGCGATTTTGGTCCCCAGCTGAACCAAGTCTACTGGATTATCAGGTGTTCAAACACTGTAAAATTCACTCATAATAAACTTTTCTATTTTTAAAGTATTTTGCTTTCAAGAAGACAGGCTTTCTTGTAATGCTATAAAGTGGTTGTAATCAATAGTTCTCCAGACATGCTGAAGCTTTTGTTGTTGTTTTTCTTATTTTCTATTCAGTCTTTTTTATGAAGCCTTTGAAAATTAAGAACACTGGCATACAGAGGACATAAGATACCTGATAGAGTTATAGTTCAGAGTTAGTTAGTGGTTTTACAAACAGAAAAACATTCCTCTCAAAATGACCAGGTACTGCAGTGAAAATAAGTGGAAACAGTTTGAGGCTTTTCCAGACCCACTGGATGGTGAATCATAGTGGGTGGCTTTCTGGCACAGAGATGTTGTGGGGAGACATCCTGGTGGTTTTTCTTGGAGATGTGCAAGCGGAAGAGGAAAAAAGACTGTATTATGGTGTCAAGTTAATACTCTAACTTCTCTCACAGATAATTAACTTAATTTAGAGACTATGGTCATTTCAGGCACGTCAAATGACATGTAATTTTCCAACCTTTTTAAGCTATCTTAAAACCCAAATCGTCCTACTGAATGTCTTATTTTACTCTAAAAAAAATCTCTGCCCAGTCTTTTGTGGAGACAGTTAGTTTGTTGGATACTTGGATGTTAAGAGTAATTGTTTTGCATGTAGTCGATAGAGCCTGCCATAATACACAAACATAAAACTTAGACTTAAACAGAAATCTGTCGTAATACCCAAAAACCAATGAAGTTGTCAAATTAATTGGTATTTTGATATATTAAAGATATATATTTTTAATCAGTTTAAGTTGTGCCGTTTTTATCTCCTTGTTTGGCACACAACTTTGCACAGCATTGCTGCAGACATTATCCTTTTCTCTCTGTTACATCAATATACCTGATGACTGAGAATCAAAAGGGTGAAGCTTGAAAGTTTCTGGAGGAAAACCTTTGCAATTTTACTCAAAAATTTGCAGGAAAAGTGTTGTTTGGATGCAATTTGCCTTTTAGGGAGCGAATAAAGAAAGCTGGAAGATGTCTATCGGCCTTATGCAAGCT